CAACCTTGTATTTTTAGGATAAAAATCACTTGATCACGGTGTAAAATCCTTTTCTTATAAATGTCTGGATTTAATTGGCTATTATGTAACCATTGCTGTGAATGTACTCATAAGATACACTAATCTACACTCTCCTAGTGGTGGCCTTGGTCTTGGCGTCAGGGACTCACAGGATGAGCTGGGAAGTGTCCCTTCCTTTTTTATTTTTGAGGCGTGTTTGCGAATGATTGATGATAATTTTTCTTACAATTGATAAAACTTACCAGTGAAAGAACCTAATCATGAGATTATCTTTGGATGAGGTGTTTGAATATTACTTTAATCTTTGTATATGTTATAGGTTGCCTTAGGTGGGGTTATCTAAAATAGTAAAATCATGGAAGTTTATATATATATATTAAAAATTATGGGGACAGACGATTCTAAGATTGAACGGTTACACAGGAGGCCTCTGGCCGCAAGACTGAACCCTTCAATTTCTTTATCACTAGCTCTGACGGTTAGGGTATGGCAGTCCTCTATGATCCATAGCGCAATCTCATATAACGTGATAACTTCCATGATGAGGTCTTCTATGAGCCAATCAACTGGAAGGAAGATTCATTAGTGATGTGCCTTGCTTATACAGTATGTGGACTCTGGAATTTTTTTTTTCTTTTTGCTATTTGGCTGATATATGACCTTCTGTTTGGATTTTAGCTAGTGGTCTGCTGTACTGCAGTGAAGTAATTGAAGAGTTCTACCAATTGAAATTGGTCAACGTGAAATCAAGATGCATTAAGAGTGATTGGAATGCAAAAGTTGGAAGGAGAAAGGAACAATAGTTGGAAAATATGGTCTTAGTGATAGAAATGCAGCTGGAGATCACATGATAGAACTTTACAAGCCCAACAATTCATTCAAAGCAAACACCATTTTTCAACAACATAAAAGGTGACCACACAGGTTTTCTTTAGATGGAATACAAAGAAATCAGATTGACTGCACCTGTAGGAAGAAATTGGAGAGGCTCAATTTTAGCAATTTAAACCAGGCCAGAAGGTGACTGGAACCTTTTGTAAGTTCAGGTTATAGCTGAAGAAAATGAAAACAAGCCCACAAGAGCCAAAGTACGACCCTGAGTTTATCACACCGGAATTTGAAGAATATCTCAATAATAGGTTTGAGGCATTGAACACTAACGACAGAAGAGCTGATGAGCTGTGGGAGGACATCAAGAACATCATTCATGAAGAAAGAAAAAGGTCATTAAAAAGGCAAGAAAGAGATTAAAGTGGACATCAAAAATGACTCTGAAAGTGCTCTTAATTGTAGAGTAGCTAAAGTAATTGGAAGAAATTATGAACTCAAAGAGCCGAATAGAAATTTTCAATAGGGGGCTCAAGAAGCCAAAGGAAAATTCTAAAATGACATTTTCTAACATGTGGTTAGAAATGTTTGGATTTTAGCTAGTGGTCTGCTGTACTGCAGTGATGAAGTAATTAAAACGAAGCACACGTTCAGCATATCATAAACTGAAAGAACACAAGTAAAAAATCAAGCCTCAAAATGAAATATTGAAAGATTCTATGGGCAAAGTATTGAATGATGAAGGAAGTATCAAGAGATGGAAGGAATACACAGAGTCACTGTACCAAAAAGAACTAGTTGACATTCCACCATTTTAGGTAGCATACGAGCAAGAATCAATAATGCTAAAGCAAGAAATTCAAGCTGCCCTGAAAGCATTAGCCAGAAACAAAACTCAAGGAATCAATAAAATATCATTGAAATATTTCAACAAGCTGATGAATCCCTGTACACATGTCCTTGTCCATACCAAGGAATGGAGAAGAGAGTTACTTGGCCAGCTGACTAGGAGAAAATCATATTTGTACCCATCTCATATTATAGAACAATGTTACTGGAGGGGTGAAAAAAACTCATCATTACAGGCCTGGTCCTAAGCATTTCATGAAATTAGATGTTATCACAAGACCACTGAACTGATTCGCAAATTTCCCTTCTAGCGTTACGTTCCAGAAACTGCTCAAGACTTCAAAACAGATCTGCGCCTCCAGAGCACAGCTATTAGGATAGTTGTATGTTTCATCGTTGCTACACTGCACCCTGACTAGCTCATTTCCTCCCTGTGACCCTTCTGTAAGGGGATGTCCAGTTGTCTACAAATGGGTCTTGGGTCCTCACTCCGCACTGTTCTTCATTCACAATGATATGGTTTTTTTTGTCCTTTGATCCCTAATCCCTTGACACCTTGTGATCACACAGGCTGGTGTGTTTCTTCCATGAAAGCTTTGTTGCTTCTGAGCTAGATGGCTGCTTGTTTACCTTCAAGCCTTTAAGACCCCAGATGCTATCTATATCTTTTGATAGCGGGACACCATCAGCTTTCGTCACCGCATTTGCTTATGTACTTGCTTTGTCTTCAGCGATCGTGTTGGGAAGGTGAGCATCATAGAATGCCAGTTTATTGAACAAAGTGTTCTTGCATTGAGGGAGTACTTGAGTAGAGGCTCAATGTCCATCTGCTACCTTAATACTAAACCTATAAATATATGCACATAGATCTATTCCCCCTCATCATATATATATATATTTACATATATATATATTTACATATGTACATACCTATATTTAGACCTCTATAAATGCCCTTTGCCTCCTAGTTCTTTCCTCTATTTCCTTTTACTTTCCTCTTGTCCCACTATCATCCTCAGCCTTCTTTTGGGTTTCAGTAATTTCTCTTGGTTACATTGCCCTTGATCAAGGCATACCAGATAAAAATAATTTTAAAGGCAAACAAGAACCTTGAATAGCAGAGAGAGCTAGAAAAAAGAGGGAGGCCAAGAGGGAGGGAACAGACGTGAGTAAAAGAAGAGTAACCACTAACAGAGGCAAAGTAAAAACCACAATAAATTATCACTATATACCTATTAGAAAGGTTGAAAATAAGATGGTTAAAACAAATGTTCAAAAGATAAGGTGGTGGTAGGAGGGGGTAGACAAAAAAATGGTGGGGTGCTTCATAACTTAACACAGTTAAATCTTAGAAAACATAATGGAGACTGAAGAAAGTTGCAAAAGGATATGTACAGTATAACACTATTTGGATTAGTTGCAAAAATTTTGTCATGCTATATGTTTATGTATATACCGCTATATAGTAAAAATATTAACATTATACAATGGCATATCTACACACTTTTACCTCTGAGAAAGTTGAGGAAAAGACATAAGGGCTTGATCTGGCATATGATATTTTATAATTTGAATTCTGGAATATTTTTTTCTTAGTAAATTATGAACATTTCTACTAGAAAAATGTGAGAAGACAGTAGCCCCAGATGTAACTGACAGTCAATACGTGGAGCCACTGTCTTCTAAATTCAGTTACCAGGTTGAGTAGAAAAGTAAGTGCTGGGGCAACATGAGAAAGCTGAACAATGGAGTTGGAATGGACAGGCAGGATGCAGAGCCAAAAACTAATTTATACATTGAAATAAAAAGTAGATTAAGAAGTCTTCTTCAAGGTCCAACTGAACTCCATTTATAAAATAAATGCAAATATGATTTCAAGAAAATAAAATCAAGCACACGACCTATCACATTCCTCCACCCCACCGGAAAGGCTTCTGGTTAATTTGCATCTTCTCCCAAAATCAATATATTCATCCGCTGACTAAAATATTTGTTGCCTTTTTATCTGTAAGTATGTTGCGCTAGGTACTTTGGAGGAATGCATTGAGAGAATGAATCCCTGTTAGGGATTGCAGCTCTGTTTAATATTCTCTCAGAAGGCCGAACTGGTATGATTTTACTCTAATGCTTGAAATGAATTAATAAAACTGTTCCTTATTGCAAAAGAGCCTAAATAAACTGTATTGAACAGGGATTTAAATTTGAGTTCTTGACCTAGTTCTATTCAGTCTTCAAACATGTAGAGACTTTTGGATTTTTAAAATGCTTTCTAGATCTAACATTCTGAGTTTATAATGTCCAAGACATCCAATTAATAGGGTGGAATAAATAGTGAACATTTACTGAGTTTTCACTAAATGAAATGTATCTCATTTAGTTCATAAAACACACTCTGACACACAGTAAAACCTGGGTAAAGCAGGTATTTGTCAGAGAAGGAAAACGCAAATGTTTTCCATTCATAGCAGGTGGAAAACGTTAGAGATCAGGAAAAACAAAGCAGCTCCTTGCAGTGCCAGCTCACACAGGTTTCACTGTATATTCCTCATTACATGCATCAAGATCTTGAGAGTTTAAAACCTACCCAAACTACCCTGGCATTAAATTAAAATAAGCCAGAACTCAAACTGCTTATCAAACAACACAAACCCTTTTGTATGTACTCCGTTATCTTACAGCCCTCGGGGGCTATAATGTTCCCGCTGCTCTGAGTACAACTGAACTCAGAATTGTCCCTGCCATAAACCACTTGCTTACTTTTCCATAAAATTATACAATGGAGTCAGACTAGAAAAACAAGCATAACTTGTAAATCAGTATTTCATGTCTAGAAATGATTCAGATCCAGGTAATTTAAAAAACGCAGCTACAGATCAAGAATCAAACACAAAAAATAAATTAAGGAACAAAATAACAGCTAAAAGAGTTGTTACTTTTCATATATTACTACATCTAATATCACACTAGCACACATGAGCTATGCATTGACTACTATATTTACAGGCAAAGAACCATCTGTTTCCAGATTAAGTAACCCATCTAAACTTAGTTAGAAGTAGGGCCAGCATTTGAGCCCACACATGCTGAATCCTAAGCACACATGATTAATTTTTATAACTGTTCAAAAGGTATGAACCATCTGGAGAGGTGTATTTTACCAATATGCACATTCATATATAAAAGCATCTACAAAACTATACTTCTGCTACTGCATGCAACCTAAGTGGTCTTAACTTTTAAAAGATGCTGGTGTTAAGCCAAAAATTTCTCTTTACCCGTAACTCAAAAAAAGACTGCTTAACTACTTCAAAAATTGTGTTTATTATAACTGTAACAGCAAATGAAAAAAGATAAAACCTAGTAACACAGCTAGGTAAGGAGAAAACACATTATGTACATTGTTTGGAGAAAGGTAAAATGCTTTCATACACACAAAAATAAAATTGCTGTTTCTGTAAGAATAAAGGCAAAGACATTTGACTTTTTAAATGTATAGATTTTTCTTTTCCCTAGTTAAAGGCGGCAGAAAATAGTCATTTAATTTTTTTCTTGGTACAAAAATTTTTCGTTTTTTATTTCTGTTCTTTCTTATGCATCTGTTTCAGATCACGGCACAAGGTTTTCCAGTTAGTTTTACAGAGCTAGAAACATTTTTTAATACAAAATACAGACAATAAAGCACGGCAAGGAAAAAAAAATCTAGCATTTGCTAAAAAAGCTTAGTTTCAATTTTAACAATCCTTCTAGGGATTTAAAAAATTTTATAAATGTTGATTTGGAACAGTTAACTTACAAGATGAAAAAGAACAAAACGTTGCAAGCATATCGTAAAGCTACATATATCTAAGTGTCTTCAGCCACACCGCTCTCTGGGTCCGCCTCCACGAGCACCCCTGAAAAGACGTCGCTTTCACACGGCCGGAGCTGGGGCATTCGGCTGGGGCACAGGTCTGGCGCGGGCAGCCTCATCCGACAACGCCTCACAATACTGCGCCGGCCAGTCCTTGGGGTCTTGGTTATGGACTTTGGCCACAAATTTAAGAACTTTCATCTTACTAGTTTCCAAGTGGGTTCGTGGGCCCCACTGCAGTTCATAGTCCACAGGATCAGTGTGGGGTATCCGCCGGTATTCCAGGTAACGCTGTCGCACGAAGTCTTCCGTAATGAGCTTCTTTGTGTCCCCAAAAACAAAGTGCTTCTTAGTGGGGAGCACCCCTAAACGTCGCAGGAAGTCCCAAACTTCCGTCTCCTTGATGGTGTTGCCCTTCATGAAAATAAGTCCCAAAACGATCATCAGGAGGCCGGTGGTGGGCGTGTCCTGGTCACCCCTCACCTCGGCATCCTCCTCCACCGGCTCCAAAGTATTGATTAGGATGTAGGTGTTACTCTTGGGCTCGAGTTCTACCAACTTGTATCCGAAAACGTACTCGAGGCGCTCGGCAGCGCGTTTGAGGAGATCCTGGTAAGCGTCCTTGTAGTCTCCCAGGACGTGCTTCAGGATGTCGGTGCGCTTAATCGGAATCTTCTTCTGGTCCTTAATTAGCAAGAACTGCACCAGCTCGGCCACCTTCAGTTCCAGCTGCTTCTGCGACCTGGGTCCCACGCCGGGGGGTCCCTGGGGGGCGCGGGAAAACCGGGACTTAGGGGTCGGGGCCTCCTGGGAGCCGCCCAGCCCGCGGGAGGTGCTCGGGACCTCGTCGGCGGCGGCGGCGGCCCGCGTCTCCTCACCCAGGCCTCGCTCCCGCTGCCTTTCCGCCAAGGTGCTCGGGCGACTCCGGACCCTCGCTTTCGGCAACATGCTAGCCCGCGGCCGGAGGCCAAGACCTTCGCACAGCCTTAGCAACGGGCGGCAGCGGCGGGATCTCGGCGCGCGCGGTAGGGATTGTGGGTCCGCGTGACGTCACGTCGGCCGACAGTGGGCGGCGCCAGAGGGGGCGGGGCGCCAGGTAGGCGGCGGCTGCGCGCTGCATCGCGGGCGTTCACCTAATCCTACCAGGAGGTTCCTTGGCGCGCCTGACTGCAGTGGAGCTGGCATGGTGGCTTTGGTTATACTGTACTTCAAAGCGACTTGCTGTGGAGAACAAAGGCCAACATTCCAAAACAAGTGTGCTGAATTCAAGTACGTAAGGTCCACGTTGTTGTGGAGGTGCCGTGGCGGTGTAGTGGGAAGGCATTGGGCCAGGAGTCTGAAGTTCAGCAGTTCGAAACCACCAGCCCCCAGGAGAAAGATTGGGTTTTCTACCCTCCTTAAGCGCTAACAGTCTTGGAAACTCACAGGGGGCAGTTCTACCCCATAACGCCGCTATGAATCGGCATGGATTCGACGGTAGTGTATTTGTTTTTTGATTTATGTTGTGGAGTCCGTTCAAACCAGTAAGCAACCTTTCTGCATAACAGGAGGAAACTGCCTGGTCCTGCGCCACCTTTCACAATTTTTATGTCTGAGCTCATTTTGACAGGCACTGTTGTCAGCCTGACTTAAAATAGCAAATACATGTTATCTTTATCATAGGTTGTACATAATTTCCTCAGCAATATCACAATTCATATTTTCTGGTTTCCTTAACTCTACCTTTTCTATTTTCTGTATAGCATGTTTAAATGGTTAACAGGGAGGGAGGGAGCGGTTTAATTATTATTGGTAGACAGGATAAGATTATAAATATGTCACTGAAGCATTGTGAAAGCTTTTTTTCCATTAATTTCTCATTCATTTGAAATTCTAATATAAAATATTGTAGTTCTTAATAGATTTAAATTTTAACAGTTTCCAGTGGAATTCTTATTTGCCTCTTACTAAGGATATTACTTACTACTAGATGGTTACTAGTACAATACAAATGCTTACTAAAGTACTAGAATCTTCACTACCCTGACTCTGAACATCATCTTATTTACAAGTCAGTGACTGGGCAATTTAGATCTCAAATTCAAAACTAGGTAAGGTGGAGGATGTGTTAGGTCAGATTAACTAGAGAAACAGAACCAGTGACATTCTTATGTCTAAGAAAGAACTTTATATCAATAAGGCTTTATATATCAGAAAAACATCCCAGCCTATCGAACTCAAGTCTATAAGTCCAGTATTAGTTCATAAGTCCCTCTTCAGTCTCGCGGTTACCAGCAATGATGCAAAATGCAGGACTATCACAGGCCAGTGGGTGCAAAGGTGGAGGCAATGGTGGTAGACATGTGGTGGTGGACATATCTCCACGGCTCTGGCCACCATCAGGGTCATTGTGTTAGTCTGGGTACTTTAGATAAACAAATCCACATAAACTCATGTATAAGAGAGAGTTTTATGTAAAGGTTAAGTGCACATCAGAAAATATCCCAACCCAGTGCTTCCCACAAGTCCAACATTAACCCATTAACCCATTAACCCATATGTCCAACACCAAACCACAAAGTCCTTCTCTATCTCACAAAACACACACTGTGATTCCAACTGCAGAAGGAAAGCCGAGTGAGTGAATGTGTAAGCATCTCAGCGCTGGCAGGGGTCTCCACACGGGTGCTG